GGCACTGGCACGCTTCATATAATTGAAGGAAGGATGAATGGACAAATGTACTGAAACATTCTTGATAAAAATCTGTTGCCATCTACCAGGATGATGAAGATGAAACGAGGGTGGACATTTCAGCAAGACAATGATTCCAAACACACAGCCAAGGAAACTCAATTGGTTTCAGAGAAAGAAAATAAAGCTGCTAGAATGGCCCAGCCAATCACCTGACCTGAATCCAATTGAAAATCTATGGAAGGAACTAAAGCTCAGAGTTCATAGAAGGAGCCCATGGACCCTTGAGGATTTGAAGAGTGTTTGTGTGGAAGAATGGGCCAAAATCACACCTGAGCAACACATGCGACTAGTTTCTCCATACAGGAGGCATCTTGAAGCTGTCATCACCAACAAAGGCTTTTGTACGAAGTATTAAATAAATTTCAGTAAGCGTGTTCAATACTTTTTCCCTGTGTCATTTCTCATTATTACACATCACTTAATTTATGGACATCTATGGTTTGATTTCTTTGCATGTGTGGATTGGATGGGTTGTTACCGACATCTGGTGAGAATTTCATGTCAATAGCACCTTTAGAAATATATTTACTTAGAAAATTGGTGACGTGTTCAATACTTATTTCACTCGCTGTATATATATATATCTCTTGTTTTAGTGTTGTCTTTGATTGGCATTGAATGTTAAACTGAATGTGAATCTGAATGTGTTCCTGTTCTGGATTGTTCAGATTGGTTGTAGCTTTATGTTCGTGTTTTAGTTTGCTCTTATTTCTTTTCATGGGTAGCACTGTCATCTCACAGCAAGAAGGGCCTGGGTTCGATACCCGGCCAGGCGACCGGGGTCATTTCTGTGTGGAGTTTGCATGTTCTCCCTGTGTCTGCGTGGGTTTCCTCCGGGTTCTCCGGTTTCCTCCCACGGTCCAAAGACATGCAGTCAGGCCAATTGGACATGCTGAATTGCCCCTAGGTGTGAGTGTGTGTGTGATTGTATATGTCTGTCTGTCTGCCCTGTGATGGACTGGTGACCTGTCCAGGGTGTATCCTGCCTTCCGCCCAATGACAGCTGGGATAGGCTCCAGCACCCCACCGCGACCCAGAAGGATAAGCGGTTTAGAAGATGTATGCATATATTTCTTTTCATGTTTCTTTTGTCTTGACACAAAACCCACTCGCACTTGCATCCTGCTTCGTCTTCTGGATTCCCAATGTTACACATATACAACACATTCTCCATCAGTCTGAAGAACCGTTTCACCATACAAAGAACGATTTAATCATGCAAAGGGGTTCTTGGAGTGTTCACGGTTCTATATAGAACCATTATATTTAATAAAGAATAAGAGTAAATGGGTGCAATGAATAATCGATGTAGTCAACTAAAATTGATGACTAAATTAGTTACCAAAGAATTTGTCAATTAGTTGGTGACATCATGTGTGTTTTTCATGCTGACTTGGAATGTGCTCACATATGTGTTACCCCTTAGTGGAGTGAAGTGAACAATACTGCAATGGCCACACCTTTGCGACCAAAAACATCCTAAATGTGGGAGCAATTCACACTCGGCCAAAACGTTGTAAATGCAACATTCACAAAGCTGGTATGAGGCACATGAGTTATGCTGGAGCATCTGAAGAGGAGGCACGCTGACTCACTTGAAGATGAAGACTCGTCTCGGTTAGTTAGCTAATATTAATGTTAAAACTAGCTTTCACATTATGAGCTGTGACGTTTTCTATTTTGAAATACATTTTCTATTGATCAATGAATAGTTAATGGTGTTGAACATACTAGAGAGCTGCATGGCAATGGGGATAGTGGTAACACCATGGATTTCAGTGGTAATCCACAGATATGGGGACAAAACAAGAAATATTCCAGAAATGGGGATAAACGTTACAGCATTCCTGTGGGAATGGTAATAAAATGTCTGCTAATGATTAACTCCACAGTAGATATTTGGAATCAAGTGCAGGTTTATCAGACAACCACAAGAAGCATCAGCAATAACTGGCAGGGTCAAAACTGTGAAGATATCACAGAAGATCAGGCAGCCAGTCCAAAAAAGTGATCCAATACTCGAAACAAGAAGGCAAGGGCTTGTAACCGTAGTATAAACACAAGAAAAACATGGCCCAGAATTGCAGGGAAAACCTTACAAGACTTTACACAGAACATGGGGCTGAATGCCCCTTAAATTCTCTACAAAATGGCCTCTGATGTAGCAAAGTTGTCAGCTAGAGTGTCAGTACTCAGGACAATGAGACCTCTCCTGGTGTGGAGGGTAACTGGCAGCAGATGTGACAACAGTAGTTTTGAGTGCAGACTTCCACATAGTTTAATTCGAAACTTTCTCAGCTTCTATACTGAGATGTGTTTTGGTCTTCACATGATGGATAAAGTAGTGCTTAAATGTGCCATAAATGTATAATTTTCAAAGCTGCATTGTTGTCACGGTGACGTTTATGCCTGGAAAATGTGTTGCTGCCAAGTGCACAGGTTTAACCCCGGAGAACTCGATATGTTCTATGGCATGTAGCCTAATGTAGCTGCACAAAATGCACTTTTCTATACTTGTATTTCTTATTATATTTCTTTCCAATTTAGATGGGTGGTGTATTTTTGCTATATTTTATTGCTGCTAACTTGGTTTTAAATTGTAACAGAAAAAACACATTGGAATTTCTTTTTCACTTATCTTCTAAATCAGCAGCAAAGTTCAGTAAAAAGCATATTTTTGAATAAAGTATTCATCTTCGTTGTCTTTATTGTTAGTTAGCACATGCCTAAAAACAAACTTAAGCTATATTTAAAAGCTGACAGCTACATAAGATCCACTGAGCAACTGTGAGACAATCCGAACCGTTGATCATTCATTTCAATAATTAATATATTATCAAAAATAGTCATTAGTTGCAGCTCTAAAATGCTGCATTTATGTATTTAGCCTACAGTGATATGCAATATTAGCCTATTTTGTCTTGCCCAAGAAATTTCTTGGTGTTGTGTTTCTGATAAACAGACCCTGGTGTCCTGTGCACAGGGTGGTGTGTTATCCACTGTGCTGTTCAAGGTTTTAAATCAGTATGTACAGGAAACTGAGCCTGAAATTCCTCTAACTTTTAATTCTCTATATTTCTCTCCTGTTGAGAAAAAAGTTGACCGAACAGATGAATAACTCAGTGCTGGCGACACAACACTGCCACCTATGGCTCAAGGCTGCATGCAGTAGGCTTAAGTTTGTTGTCCTGTACTTACAAGATATAACCACACAAATAATTACTCATAATTACCCAAACCCTGTTCAATTGCCCTGAGTAGAACAGAAGATCCTGTCCTGCTGAAGATGGCCATGGCCACTCAAACATTAGAGGGACTCACATTGCTTTTAAAACACGTTTGTTTTGGGCATTTCCAAGTAAATATGTATTATAATGAAAAGCACCTGGTACCAAACAAACACCGCACTGCATCTCTCGTTCACACACTCCGTTCCAGATAGAACGTTCCGGCACATCTGTATCAAATATAGTCTGTATGGAGGGACGAGTCCAAACACATGACAGAGCTCAAAAAGCAGCTTCGGAAAAAAACAAGCTGGAAAAACATGAAAATAATGAATGACTGTGCCATGTCGCTTTCTCACACGGCGGTTGTGTTATTACAGAGCAGAGCAATATCACCCGACATGAGACAAACCCTTAACCCAGCAGGAAGCAGAGCTGCAGTGACCTTAATATCCACAGCAGACAACTGCACAATTCACAATCTCCAGAACCCATGCTTTCCAGAACCTGACTTCTGCAAAACCCACACTGTCCAGAACCTGACCTCTCCTTAATAAATAGTCCCTTTAACCTGAACTCAAGCTTTCCAGAACCCATACTGGTCAGAACCCACACTCTCCAGAACCTGAGCTCTCCATAATAAACAGTCTTTTGAACTTGAAGCTCTCCAGAACCCAAACTGTCCAAAACCAGTACCTGGTGTTAGCCAGTTATCCAGTAGTAGTTATCCAGTACCTGGTGTCCAGAATCTGTATCATTCAGAACTCATGTTCTCCATAATCCACACTCTCCTGAACCCATATTCTCCAACATACTCTAGATTCCATACTGTCCAAAACAAGGGTTCTCTAGAGCAATCAGTTTCCGGAACCCATGTGGGGACTAACACAGAACTAACAAGCTGCAGAACAAGAGCTCTCCAAAGTATGAATTCTCCAGAATCTGAAGTCTCCAGAACCTGAACAGTCCAGATCCCACACTCTGCAGAACCCATGCTTCCCAGAACCCACACTCCCCAAAATCTGCAGTCTTCATCACACTCTCTAGAACCCGCTCTGTCCTTAATCCACACACTCTAGAATCCATGATCTCTAAAAAGTGCAGTCTTCTGAGCCACACTATCTAGGACTGTCCACCATCCAGAGCCCACTTTGCCAAAATCCACTGTCCATAATTATACTACCAAAGGAACCTACACTGTCTAGAACCTGTACTCTCTAGATCCTGCACTTTCCAAAACATGCTCTCTATAAGGACCTGTGCTCTCCAGAACCCACACTGTCCAGAACCTGAGCTCTCCATAATCTGTACTCTCCAGATCCTGAACTCTCCATAACAAACAATCTTTTGAAGTTGAACATCAAGTTATCCAGAATCTGGTCTCCTGAGTGTACAGGGCCTGTGTTCTCTAGAATCCACTCTCCAGAACCTGCACTATTCAAAACAAGCACTTTCCAGAACCATGAACCTCCAGAACCTGTTCAGAAACTGAACTCTTCTGAACTCATACTCACCAGGACTCACACTCTCCAAAACCAGTCAGAAGTCTAACAGTAATAAATCAGCATAACACACATAAACAGCAGCACAGCAACCAACGACTCAGCATCACATTGCTATGACAACAAACTTCATCAGCATGACAGTCCTGGATCCTTGCAGTGTAATAGCTGTGATGTAAGCGTGTTTAGAAACTGGGATGTGCCTTACCTCGTTCACACTGAGCTCCGGTGAAGCCGTACGTGCACACACATCGGTTTGGAGCGACACACCTTCCACCGTTTAGACATCCCGACTCACACACCGCTACACAGACAGAATTACTGATCAGTAATAATTGCATGATAACACAATATACACTCACTGAAGACTTTATTAGGAACACCTTCTTGTATCTGCACTCACTGTCCACTTTATCAGCTCCACTGACCATATAGGAGCCCTTTGTAGTTCTACAGTTACAGACTGTACTCCATCTGTTTCTCTGCATACTTTGTTACCCTGTTCTTCAATGGTCAGAACCCCCACAGAGCAAGTATTATTTGGGTGGTGGGTCATTCTCAGCACTGCAGTGATACTGACATGGCGGTGGTGTGTTAGTGTGTGTTGCGCTGGTGCGAGTGGATCAGACACAACAGTGCTGCTGGAGTTTTAAAACACCTCAGTGTTGCTGCTGGACTGAGAACCAAAAACATCCAGCCAACAGCGTAATGTGGGCAGCGTCCTGTGACCACTGATGAAGGACTAGAGGATGACCAACACAAACTGTGCAGCAGCAGATGAGCTATCGTCTCTGACTTTACATCTACAAGGTGCAGAGAAACAGATGGACTACAGTCTCTAATTGTAAAACTACAAAGTGCTCCTATATGATAAGTGGAGCTGATAAAATGGGTAGGTGTACCTAATAAAGTGCTCAGTGAGTGGAGATTAAACAGTACTGTTAACACTGAATGTGATTATAGGCACTGAATAATCTGATAATTATCAGATTTCTGCAGTTATCTGTTTATTAAGTGATCGTGTAAACAGCACACTGTAATTTCTTGGATCAGATTAAGGTCTATAAATCTGAATAAGAAATCTGATAAAGAGGCTGGATCTGAGCTCAGTAATGGGGTTTTTAAGTGTATGTAAACCCTCACTTTGATTTCTTTCAGTCTCTCTCAGTCTGAGCATGTGTGAAAAAACAGCGCTGCCCTGGAAACAGCGAGCAGCGTTTAACACAGCACCCGCGAGACACAGCACAGCACTTTTGGAGCGACACTGAAACCAAATACATGCTTGACGAAATGAAGGATTTAAATATTTTTCATTTACTAGATGATGATTGTTCACATGTTCATCTTAAGTGACTATATATTTTAATAAAAAGCCCCTGCTTGGGTTTTACATTACGTTTACGTCACATCTTATTCTGTTTATTGGCCGGTGGTAAAGCAGAAATCCAATTACTGCTGGATTCACATAAACCTGGAGTTTTCCCACACTGAACCAGTTACTGACACAATCTGGTTTTCTGCAGTTATCAGATTATTAAGTGTAAACACACTGAGCCAGTAACTGCCAAAATCTGATTTTCTGCAGTTATCAGATTAAGTGTAAACACACTGAACCAATTACTGACATGATCTGATTATCTGCAGTTATCAGATTATTAAGTTTAAACACACTGAACCAGTTACTGACAGAATCTGATTTTGTGCAGTTGTCAGATTATCAAGTGTAAACACACTGAATCAGTTACTGACACAATCTGATTTTCTGCATTTATCAGATTATCAAGTGTAAACACACTGAATCAGTTACTGACACAATCTGATTTTCTGCATTTATCAGATTATCAAGTGTAAACACACTGAATCAGTTACCGACACAATCTGATTTTCTGCATTTATCAGATTATTAAGTGTAAACACACTGAACCAGTTACTGACGCAATCTGATTTTCTGCAGTTATCAGATTATTAAGTGTAAACACACTGAACCAGTTACTGACAGAATCTGATTTTCTGCATTTATTAGATTATCAAGTGTAAACACACTGAATCAGTTACTGACACAATCTGATTTTCTGTAGTTATCAGATTATTATGTGTAAACACACTGAACCAATTACTCTTATGTTGTGCTTCTGAAAAAGTATTGATAATACAAAGCAAATGAGTGTTTAAGTAATAGGTCATCTTAATTTTTATGGGTTTTGTACTTTATATGCAAAGACTTCTTACGCTGGCCACAGTGAGTTCCAGTGTAGCCTTTCTGACACAAGCAGCTGTCCTCTGCACAGGATCCGCCATTCATGCATCGGATGTTACAGTGTTGAACTGCAAAAACAAAGAATCTCTTACAAACTGCACACATACGCCACCAAACACATACACAAGCCCTACAATCTCACAGGATCTAACACACACCACACATTATCGAGGGAATGCTAAACTGAGTGATGTGGCTGAGAGATTACAAAATCTAGCTCTGAAAACTGGATTCAAAGTCTGGATGTAAATTTCTTTAGCCTAAGGCTGGGGTTTCCAAAATCCAGCCTCAGGGCCAAATGTGGCAGATTTTATTCAGCCCATGTCTTCTGTTTTAGAGTGTGTTATTAGTGGCCCACAAGCCAGTACGCTGCTGTTCTTCCTTTCACCTGACGGTGGCATTTAGTTTAGTCCAGACTGCAGCCATAAAGCACAAATTTGAAACTGGGAACCTGCGATTTTGGTAAGATAGAAATTTGATAGTTTTTCATTGAGAGCCGCAGAGAATGAGCCTCGTATTTCAAAAGATTGTAATGAATTTAATATTGACAGACATCAAACACAGCATGAACATTACAGCAAATGTTCAAGAGAGAAACTAAAGCAGCTGCAGCTCCCGAGTCTCACAGCCCCGACTTCTTATCGGAGCAAATTCAGCAGGTCACTAAATATTAACCTTTTAAGGTGAAACAATAACAGCTATTTATACTGTTTAATCTGCTCCTCTCGTTTAATAAAGTGATTTCCGAATGCAGTTCAGAATGCCAACTGAATGCAGACATCACATTTAGTGAGTTTAAAGGAGTCAGCTGTCCCATTTCACCAATTCCTGCTCATTCTCTTCGCTCCTCCTTTCCACTCCTCGATTCCTCCACGTAGCAGGAGGGGCAGTAGCAAAAGTTTTGGATGCAGCTATGGCCAATGGACAGGAAATGACTTCATACATGACATCATACCTGTGGCTGGACTGGAGATTAGACACAAACTTACCATAGCTAAGAGAGGCTCTGCCAGAAACACGCCTCTGAAAAACACTCTGACAACGGAAACATAAACACTCTGCCCCACGCAGCTGCTCAGCCACAGTCACACACACACTTCAGAGCCAGGGAGGCGTGTTTGGTACCTGACTTGGAGCCGCAGGACGGAGCGATCTGTCCGCTTGGGCAGGTGCACATGTTTGGTCTGGAGCAGAATCCATCTCCGCAAGAACTGCGGCAGATCGCTGAGAGAGACAGAGAGAGAGAGAGAGAGAGAGAGAGAGAGAGAGAGAGAGAGAGAGAGAAGTAATGATCAATACAACACGGTATTGCAATAACTATAGGTGAGAATACAGTACCAATACACAGCTTTTAAACTAGTATCAACATTTTAACATGTAGTAACTTCATTGGTAGATTAATGCACACATAAAATGATGGTCCTCCAAGTGTTCTTTAGAAAAGAAAATGGTTCTATATAGAACCATGAACACTCATACAACCATCTGCATGTTTAAAGGGTTCTTTGCATCATGAAATGGTTCTTCAGATTGACAGAGGATGTGCTTTAGGTGGTTCTATAAAGAACCTTTTTTGAAAAGAGATTTATGTAGCACCAAAGAGGGTTACAGGCTTGACATCGTAACAATAGAAGAACACTTTTTGGTGCTACATAGAACCATCTACCGCACATTCCCCATCAATCTCCAGAAACATTTAATGTTGCAGAAAAACATTTATTCATGCTAAGGGTTCTTTGAGTGTTCATGGTTCTATCTAGAACTATTTTGTTTACAAAAGAACGCTTGAAGAACCATCATTTTTAGGAGTGTAGGACAGGTCTCTTCACATTGATGTATCAGTCTACTCAGGCTTTAGCAGAGCTCAGTAACACTGAGATTAATAACTGATCACATTGATTTATCAGTCTACTCAGGCTTTAGCAGAGCTCAGTAACACTGAGATTAATAACTGATCACATTGATTTATCAGTCTACTCAGGCTTTAGCAGAGCTCAGTTATTTATTATTTAAAGATGTTATATACATTTTTATTATTTAGTAAGTATGTATTCTGAACGTATTCTCTAAAAAATTGTAAAAGTAACTGTATTCTTTATACTGTCTTTACAAAATGTAACTGCTGAATACAGGTAATTTCTGTATTCTGAATATATATTCCCAATTCTTGTATTCTGTTACATTCCAACCATGATCACGACTCCTGGCTTGGAGACTGTTCACCAAGGCTGCTGCGAAGAGCAAAGGAAAGTGAGCAAGACTGGCTGGAACTGTTCAGTCAATCAGCCGTGATGTGGAGCATGACCCCCCACTTCCTCAGTTTCAACTGCTAAACAATATCATCACCTCTGCTAAAAGAAGGCTGCTGGCCAACGCGCAATCACAGAACACAAAGCCCAAAAACAGCCTTCCTGAGGAACGCAGCTTGAACAGCTCCCTATTCACTGCTGGAGGAAAAAACAGCATTACAGATGATGGATCCACACCAAGAGCTGAGCTCAAACTCCTCGTGTTAGGCTGGCATCAGAGGAGTGTTAAAGCAGAGGAGGGTCAAACGCCCTGGGCTGCACACGTGCTGGACTGTAAACGTTTATGCTGCGGTGTAAAGCACGTTGTGTGGTCTTTACAAGTCTTTAGGAGCTCCAGTAAAGGTTTATAACTTACGGACGATGCACTGATTGCCACCGGTCAATGTCTTCCAGCCAGGACAGCAGTAGGTTTGGTGACGTGAGCCACATACGTTGGGTCTGGAGGTGAGGGGACAGTAAACACAGGTCATTCAGGAAACGCACCGCCACTTTCACACCACTTTCGCTATTTCGTCTCCCAGCGGCCCCTGATTTCCAGTATATTTTTAAACATAAACTGAAAACCCATTTATTCAGTCTGGATTTTATGGAGTGTTGATGTTAGTATTTACACTTATTTATTATCTTTAGTATTTATTGTATTCTATTTGTTTTTAACATTTTACTGTTGATCAGTTTTATTTTACAACCCCATTTCCAAAAAAAGTTAGGATGCTGTGCAGAATGTAAATAAAAACAAAATGCAAGGATGTGTAAATCACTTAAACCCTAGATTTTTCTCTGAAAATAGTACAAAGACAACATATCAAATGTTAAAACAGAGAAATTTTATTGTTTTTTGGAAATATATAAGCCCATTTTGAATTTGATGCCAACAACACGTTCCAAAAAAGTTGACAAAAAAGCAACAAAAGGCTGGTAAAGTTGTGTAATGCTAAAAGAACACCTGCTGATTAATGTACAACAGGTCAGTAACATGATTGGGTATAAAAAGAGCATCCCAGAGAGGCTGAGTCTTTCAGAAGTAAAGATGGGGAGGGACCACTCAGCTTGTTATCAGTGCACAGTTCAAAAGCCAGTATTCATGATAGTATAGGGGGGCATTAGTGCACATGGCATGGGTGATGCACACAACTGTCCCATTAATGCTGAATGATATTGTCACACAGCCTCCGAAACCCCGTGTAGATTCGGACTCGAATTTGTCTCTGATTTTGGATTATGACCACTTGCCTGTACCTTCGACCATGCTACTACTTTTCCCTTTTTGGATTGTTGCCTTGGCTGATCTTTGTATCTTTCGTGTGCCTTCTGGATCTGAACTCTGCCTGGTTATCGACTACGACTTTGAACTCTGTTTCTATCAGTAAAGCCCTTTCTGTAAGTTACATCTGCAAGCGTCTGACCGTACTTGAAACCTTACAGATATATATATGTTTTGGCTACATATGCTGCCATCCAGATGATGTCTTTTTCAGGGAAGGCATTGGTTATTTCAACAAGACTATGTAAAACCACATTCTTCATGTATTACAACAGCATTCCTCCATAGTAAGAGATTCCGGGTGCTAAACTGGCCTGCCTGCAGTCCAGACCTGCCACCACTGAAAACATTTGGCGCATTATGAAATGAAAAATACGACAAAGGAGACCCTGAACTGTTGAGCAGCTGAAATCCTATATGAAACAAGAATGGGAAAACATTTCACTTTCAAAACTACAGCAGTGTCTCCTCAGTTCACAAACACTTACAGAGCGTTGTTAAAAGAAGAGGTGATGAAACTCAATGGTACACATACCCCCGTCCCAACTTTTTTGGAACGTGTTGTTGGCATCAAATTTAAAATGGGCATATATTTTTCAAAAAACAATTCAATTTCTCAGTTTCAACATTTGATATGTTGTCTTTTACTATTTTCAATGAAATGCAGGGTTTAAATAATTTGCACATCATTGCATTTTGTTTTTATTTGGGGTTGTATTCCATTTTGCTTTATCATTGCTTATAATATCTTTTATTATCTTAACTACTCATTATTAAACATAGCCTCCAAATCCATTGTAATGTTGTATGTTCTGCCAATTGCTTTTAAACCACTTTGAACTGCAATTTCATTTATTTGAATGGTGCTACATGAATAAACTTTCTTAGAAAATATTACTCTGTTCTAAAGACGTACTGATAATTGCTTTGTCATTTACAGAGGTTCATATAACTCTTCGAATTGCACATGAACTGTTTCAGACTGTGTTCTCTAGCCCTGGTCCTGGAGATCTACCTTCCTGCAGAGCCTAGTTCCAAACACAGTTAAGTCTAGCTAATCAGCCTCTTCCCAAGTCCCTGATTGGCTGGATCAGATATATTAGAGTTCAGTAAGGGGGTGGGGCAGATTATTGGATACAGGTTGGAACTAAACTCTACATAAGGTAGCTCTCTAGGACCAGGGCTGGAGATTACTGGTTTAAGACCTTCTATTAATGTCTAGCCCACACGTACATGTTTTTTTTTTTTAATGTTGGGGGAGGGGGGGTTGATATTCTTGTTACTCAGTGGTCTAGTGGACCTACCACATTATTGTTTTTTTTTTTAATCAATACAGCCATAACAATTTATGTAAAAATACCCAAAAATATCACAAGTGGCCAGTGTAGGGTTCTCCTTTAGCAGCTGTAGCCAGTCAGCAGCCTGTCCATGTTGTCCACCCTCACACACATATACAAACACATACACACACAGACACACACACACACTAACAGCAGGCCATGTAGTAGGAGAACAGAGTGAAGGGACACAACACCTCCACACATTTATTCTCCATGGGTTAACCCCAACACCACATATGTAATATAAATGTGTAGGGGGTGTACAGTGTGAAGATATAGCAGTGACCTCCATAACATTCTGACCCCTCTGTTCTTCAATATAGTGTAAGAGGAACTGGACATTTATGTATAAACATGTACCAAGTCCTGTTAGCGATGTTAAAACCAGCAATATTTTAACTGCATCAGCCCTTGCACAAAATTGCCTCGTGTAAACAAAGCAGATAACAGTTCATAATCTGACATTACCAACCATCCCTGAATTCTGAATTTCTTCAGCCTGGAAGGAGTTTTACAAAAGGTCTGTGTTCAGTGACCAGTTTAGCCAGGACCACTTTGTTCAAGAAAAAATTGTGTTTCCATTTGTAGACATTACATTTGGTTGTATGGCTCTGTTCTGGGACCTCCCTGCCCGTTCATGTGCATATATGGAAAGCCTAAGGCAAGGAGAGCAGCAGGAAGACCCCAAAATGACCACAGCAGGCTAATGGTCTAGCAGAAGATTGCAAAAAGGCTTGCAGAGGAAGCAGCGAGAAAGAGCAGCTAAAGCAGCCTAAATAAACTCCCTGACGAATTTAGCCAATCGTATGCCTAGCAGGCATTTAGCTGAGCCCTCAGCTCATTGAGATTAACAGCTGGTGACTTGAGATTAGGGTCTGAGCTTGACTTCATGGCTTCGGGGAACCAATGCTAGGAAAAATACCCATGTATGTATGGACAAGGCTTAAGTTTACTCATCATGTTGACATGAAGTGTGTACATTAAAATCAGTGATGGAAAAATGGTATCTTCCCTATATAGAAAAGACACAGAGAAAAACTCTGTTCTGTCTTTTTCTAGAAGTGGACTAATCAGTTGCACTAAAATGCAACCTACCATATGGTCAGTTTACAAAACTCAGACATATTTCTTTGGAAACAGCTGATTTTGAGGGTAGAGCTGAGATTCTAAACAAAGACTTCCGCTTGATTCTTTATTAAAGAAGTACCTTCCTAATACCAATTAGGACTCCAGAAGGTGGCTCAGAAATATAAAACTTAAAAAGATTTTTTCTTCTAGTGTTACATCTAGATTTATTGCTTTTGGTCAGAAGATTAGGAAAACCATCAACAATCATCAAACACACACGTATTTGCTTGAGAATCAGAGTAAAATAAGTCAAATAGAACTTTAAGAGGCAGTCCAGCGCTTGGACCCCTGTATTGCTCCTCATACCAGAGCATACGAATGTGGGCCAGCGGCGGGTTGGAGACAACCCCCTCCACCCCATCCTGCCTCCACCACCCCGTCTCTGTGTGAAAGGAAATTGGCCCAAATAAACGTATCTCCCAACTGTTTAGTCCTGCTGCTTTTGCAAGCACAACTTATAATGTAAAGTCTATGAGCCAGAGCAAGAGCTACAACAAGAGCTCACAAGAATTATTGATTAAACATCCTGGTGGTCACGTCACTGTAACAATTCCAAGCATTGACAAAGAGCACACAGCACTGAATACAATGCAACTGATTAACTACATACAATGAAATTTAATTAAACTTTCTTAAGAGCAGAATGGCGTAACTGCAGAACTTGACCTTGACTGGAAGAAAGATAAGAAAGAAAATTCTTAGCATTGCCAAAAAGTTTTTAAAACTTGATTACTGATACAAATAATTAGGGCTGGGCAATATGACAATATATATTGTTATTGTGATGAATTGTCACAATACAATAGGCTTTTCTGATCATATTGTGTGTATAGTCAGTGCTTGACGAACTGACCAACTGCATGTTTCTTTATAAAGAGAGCAAAATTTGTAACTGGATTTTGTGCCAAATATTGAATAAAATGGATAGTTTTTGATAGCATATATTTTTAAGTAAGCTTTTTACTCAGTTCATCACAATATTATATTTTTGCCATACACAAATAATTCTGTCACCCTGCACATTCTATCTTGCAAAATAACTGCACGCAACCATGCCACTTTTCATGCAACAGGTCAGTGTTAGTATAGACCAGCATTCCTCAATGCTGAATTTACTCTGTACTGGCTCAGAAATGCTGCAGGTGCTCGTTTAACACTCTGAGAAGTTAACAGGTGATGGAGTTACCCTTTAAGCGTGTCCCCGCCCCGGCGCTTGGACCTGCTGACCCTCTGCTCTGCAGGTTTGTCCGTCTTGGTGTCTCCACACACGACACACAGTGCTGTGAGACCCACAGCCAACTTCAGCAGCCACATTCTGCCTCGCTGCCCCTTTCCCGCAGCTGATCCACTTTAGAAAAACTTGATCTGAGAGCACAGAACCTCTAGGCTGGACGCAACTCCCGTCTGCTGAGGCCAATCTGGGATGGATCTGGAGGAAAAGTAAGGGAATAAAAGTTTTAAAGCAGTCAGAAATTCAATTTTTGAGCAGAAAAAATAGTGCAAAAAGAAAAAAAGTGTCTGCAGATGACCAAGGACTGCTGGCCATTGCAAAAAAGCACAACAGATTGAACGCAGCAGGAGCAACTTCAGCCCTGCATGAAGTTCCAGCTCTGTTTAACAAACGTCCTGAAACAAAGTCACAACAGGCAGAGTCGTGCACAGTTGAAGCGCAGTTGAGAGAGTCACGGTACCTTTCCTGGACCCTGGAGTGTGTGTGTGTGTGTATATGTGTGTGTCCTCCGGATTGAGCAGAAGAGTTAGAGCTGCTTTCCCCTGGAGCTGAGTGTGTGTGTGAGCATGGTGGAGCAGCACAGAGCTGAAGCTCAAAGCTCAAAGCCTCTGGGCCATTCTGCAGGGCGAGACAAGCTGCTGCTTTTTCTCTCCACTTTCTCTCTCTCTCCCTCTCATTCTCTCTCTCTCTCTTCTGGACTCTCCTCCTTCCCTCCCTCCCTCCCTCCCTCCCTTGTGCTCTCGCGAGAGGCAGAGTGCTGCGGAAACAATGCAGGCAAACTTTCACTTGTACAGCGCAACTTCCCCTCCACACACTCACACACACACAGTTGTCAACCACTCTGTCAAACACAATTAGACTTGGTGATAAAAAAGTTGATTATTTTGGATCAAGATGGTGATCTGGTGAAACATGTGCATGCTTTAAGCTCAGATGGGTTGGAACTTGGCTGTTTTGATTTTTAAACCCATAAAGGCTTAGGCTGGTTTCCATGATGAAACTTTCATGCAACTAGTTGCAATTTACAAGCTGAAGCATCATTTATATGCAACTTGATGCCTTCAAAACAAAGCAACGCAGTTAACTCCTTAAAATCCCAGGCTTATTACATAATGAGACTTATTATTAGTCTATTATTATTATTATTATTATTAATAGTAGTAGTAGTAGTATTAATCCTTAGCACCAATAAGAATTCTGCTGTCGTTATGAGGTCAAGCTTGTAAAAATAGAGGCACACGTTTGGTGCTACATAGAACTATTTTCAAAACATACAACACTTTCTTTGCTATTTCCACATGCAAAGAACCCTTGAACAACCATCTTTTTAAAGCACATAGTCAGCAAGATTAGTAATTTTTCAGTGTTTTTCCTGAAGAAACTTTTTTGTAATGCTTTGCTTAGTCTTTGTATTTTGTATTTGCATCATTTTTATAGAGACTAGTTGGTGAGCTGGTAAATCCTGGGCATGCTTTAAGATCAGAGGGGCAGGGACTTGGCTTTGATTTTTAAACTCATTAAGCCTTAGGCTGGCTTTGTGTGCTGAAACTTTAACGCAACTAGTGGCAGGTTGCAAGCTGAGGCATAATTTTTGTGCAACTTGACATCTTCAAAACAAAGTAAGTGATTAACCCTGTAAAATCCCAGGTTTATTACATACTAAGGCTTATTATTAGTCTATTATATTATTATCATATTACTATAAGTGTTATTATAATTGTTGATTAATTATTATGATATCATTATATTATCATTATGTTATTATATGACATAATTATGTTATATAAGGAACCTACATAGCACGACTGTTATGATGTCAAGCTTCTAACAATAGAAGAACCCAGTTTAAATACGCATAGAACTAAGCATGAAAATGGTTGAGTGTAGAAACCTCTTAAAGAACCATCTTTTTAAAGAGGTCAGTCAGCAAGATTGGTAATTTTACAGTGTAATTGTACAGTACAATGTTTTATTTAGTCTTTGTATTTTGTATTTGCATCATTTATATAGGGACAAGATGGTGAGCTGGTAAACCTGCACATGCTTTAAGCTCAGAGGGGCAGGAACATAGAACCATTTTTAAAACATATAATACATTCTTCATCAATCTGAAGAACTATTTCAGGATGCAAAATGTTCTTTGAGTGTAGGAGCCCTTGAAGAACCATCTTTTTTAAAGAGTGTCATCAGTATGATTAGTATTTCTCAGTGTTTTTCCTGAAGAAATGTTTTATTCAGTCTTTGTATTTAGTATTTACATCATTTTTATAGAGACCAACCAAAAACACTGGCCAGTAATATCAGCAACCCGCAGTTCTACAAGCATAAATCTCACCAATAATTAACATCTGGGTTCAAATATGCAATGTCCCAATGACAGGGCAAAATCTCAGCCAGGTGTGCCACTGGAGAGCCCTAAATAAGACGCCCCTTGGGATAATGTTGTAAAAATCTGGGCAATTTATCACAGTAAAAATAATCAAATTATCATTGCTGTCCAAAGAAAAATAAATATCTCTAAAATGGAAACTTTACAGGAGAGGGTAAAAATGGTATTTACTTTCAATATAAGTTAATGTAAAGAGTTTTTATTTTAATCAATTTTGGGGCATTTCTGTTGGTCCAATCATCAAGAGATTACAATACTTTTGAAATGAAGCTGTTGCTTAAAATGTATTTAAATGCATTTATTTTAATTTATTCATAGCGGAGGGGTACATGCAGTAAGGTTAGAAAATGTATTTTTTCAAATTTCCCTCTATTTTCCCATCATCAACATTCCATATAAAACTTAGAAGACATGTGTAGGTTCACTGGTGGTTTTGGACAGTAAATAAAATGGCTATATTTGTGTTGTAGTCATGGCGACCCCTGGTTCCTATCATCTAAACCATTTCACACCAAACCACTCTGAATCACTCTGTTTACATTGCATTAACAAAATTATGCAAAAATGTAGACAAATCTGTACAATTCCCCTTTAATTATATTGTGGTTTAAATGTTTACCCATACTGCCCAGAACTAGCTACACACTTTGAACCAGCATCACACACACTTGATTGATAAAACAGGAGGGATTTGCACACCTGCTAAAAAAAAGTGAAAAAGAGAATGAAAGAGAGAAACATGTAGAACACCTGGCTGCTCCTGGAGATCAACCTTCCTGCAGAGTTTAGCTTCAATTCTAAACATGCCCACATGAACCATCTAACTACTGCCTTCAGAAATCCCTGATTAGCTGAATGAGGTGTGTTAGATTTGGGTTCTCCTAGAGGAGACCTGGTGTCCACTGACAGAGAGAGTCTCAATACTTAGTGAGATCTCTATGTAGGCAGCAATTTAAAGGGTCCTTAACGTAAATTTTTCCCATTAAAAAAGTAGTGTATGTGAACATTCAGGATGTTCTTTTTATTCTCAAGCCCATACAGTCCGTATATGGAATTAAAGCTGCATAAATGGTTTGTTTTCAAGGTGCAGTGTGTAAGATTCAGTGGCATCTAGTGTTGAGGCTACAGATTGCAGCCAACTGAATCCCCTCCCTCATCTCTCCTTTTTCAAGCATGCAGCAGAACCTTTCTGGTGTCATCTGTGGTGATTTTGTTTTACTTCTTCATGTTTTCTCTTCTTTGATGGTGAAGATTCACCCTCTCTCGCTTTTTCTTGTGCTAAATAAAAAAATCTGATACACCATTCGTCAAAATTTGGGTTCTCAGACTTCTCACAACACAAAATGCTCAGCAGCACCAGCAGCCACCATTGATTCTTCTTCTTTTTATGTCTTTTTAGCTACAGTGCCACCAAATTTGGGACTAAATGCCACTTATCCTTCTGGGTCATGAAGGGTGCTTGAGCTTCCTTGTGATGGACTGGTGACCTGTCCAGTTTTTTCCACTTGATCAACACTGAGAATTGCATTAATATTCAAAATTTCTCCATAGCTCAGTGTTTCAGATGTAAACAGAGTGATTCAGAGTGGTTTGGTGTGAAATGGTTCAGATTTCTTTACAGTGGTGGTGATAGGAACCAGGGGTTGCCATGACTACAACACAAATATAGACATTTTATTTACTATCCAAAACCACCAGTGAACCTACACGAGTTTTATATGGAATGTTGATGATGCGAAAATAAGTTTTCCTTGGACACTATTTTCCCTCACAGCACCCTGCATGTATCCCTCCACCATGGATAGACTAAAATAAATGTATTAAATTACATCTCAAGTTAAAACTCTATCACAAAACGATCATAAAACAATGTTTTTAACATCATGCAGCATGACCAAACTACTCTAAATGACTTTGTTCACATCTTAACCACTTAATTATGCAGAGATTTTAACTTTAACCTAACCTACACGTTAAGAAGATGAGCAGTAAGCTGTGACTATCATAAGCACTGCGATTGATAAATGAATTTCCATTCAATGCAGGAATTAAATAAGAAGTAATTTACATTTCATTGGTTTTATGTGACCGCGACCCAGAAGGATAAGCGGTTTAGATGATGGATGGATGGATGGATGGATGGTTTTATGTGTGACTGCATTATCCACCTAGCTAGCTTACCAAAGTGAAACAGCAGGATTACACCAAACTAAAACTAGCATGCAAGGGGCTAGCTAAATTTAGCTGTTACTGAGCTAAACAAGGCTAGCATCTAGCTGTATTATATGAGATTTGCATGATATTGCACCTTCAGAAGAAAAAAAGACAAAAAATAATATCTATTGCCATCAATGTTAACGTAGTTACCTCATTAGGATAGCTGGGTAATGTTAGCTAGCTAGCTTGGAAGGCTAACATTTTGAGCATAATACCTCTGTTATCTGTTTCTCCTCAGCTGTTTAGCACTTTCAATGACCGTTAGTGGTTAGCACTTTCAATGGCCGATAGCGGTTAGCACCTTTAATGGACGTTAGCGGTTAGCACCTTTAATGACCGTTAGCGGTCAGCACTTCCAATGACCATCAGCGGTCAAGTTTTCCGTTAAATGTTGTTTTGTGTAGTGAGAGTGATTGTGTACGCAGGATTTACCCACATTAACTAGTAAGATGGACTGACCTACTTGTCGGGTCATTAGCTTGAATAATTCAGTCATCAGAAACAGTCCATTCAGTCCACATCGGAGACACGTGAAATGGCGAGAGTTTACAGCTGCTGAAGTTGCTGCAGCAGTTTTGGAAAGTAGTGATGAAAATAACAGAGCATTTTGATATGAAACATATGAGGATCATGTTATATGATGAGCCTTTAAAGGAAAGTTTAAGAAGATATGCACAAATCGAGAGAATGACCTCAGACCACAGAGGGTTAATTAGGAATGACCAGCTGGAGAAAAAGTTTTACCTCTCTACCCTCAAACAGTTTTTATTTATTACATTATCCCAATCAATATTTTAGTTTTAGTATTTTGAATTACTGTTTTATTAAAAGAAATGTATTATTCTTAGTAGTTACCTTTACATAGCCCCGGTGACAGCTTTTAGATTCCAGTTATTTTCAGAACACTTTGAACAGATTCCAACAAACATGACATTTCAGAAGGTGGTGTAGATCAGGGTTTCTTAACAAGTGGGCCACAAAGAACTCTTTGGTGGTCCTTGGGCCAATACTGAGGAGGGCCAGTAGTCTGCCCATAGGGAAAAAATATATATGGACATATAATCTTGTGTATT